TAGTTTTTATTATGTAGTTATTTTATTATCATTAAGCTTTTTTTACGATTATTCTTTTTTATATGCAAAATTTTTTTTAATTTTATACTCTCGTTTTATTTTAATTTATCCATTCTTTATTCAAAAAAATTTTTTTATTTGATATGTTGGAAACATTAAAATTCTTTATTATTTTTAATAATACCTATTTTTCATGATTCATTTAACGGGAAATCCCGAAAAACTATTACATCAAATAAATTCCTTCGGGATGTTCTTTATATAGTGCTTATTATTATTCTATAAAACTTTAAAATCAATAATAATAATGAATGATGATATAACAATATAATAATAAATATTATTATTATTATTATCATCATTATTGATTCTTTTTAAAAATTAAAAAGTTCTAGATCCTTGGTCTTTTTATGTGTGAGGAATAAAGAATTTTTACTCGAGAACTTTCTTTATCTATTACTATATTATATATATATATATATATATATATATATATATATACATAAAACTTTGTGTATGACTTTTTTTTTGCAATATGATTGATCTTATGATGGTATGATGATTTAAACAGATTTCAATAATATATGATTGGCCATATAGAATATGATCCATTTTATGTCGAATAAAAGTTCATGATTATCTCCTTCCAAATAATAATTAAATGTTCTTTAATCTTTTAATAGGGTAGTGACATATGTTACACAAATTTAACCAAAAAATAAAATATACGCATTCATACATACTTTACTATATTTTTTTAAAAAATAATCTCTCGTTCACATTTTGTATGAGACAAACGACTATGAAGGGTTTTGATTTTTTTTTTGATGTTTTCTGATGTTTTTGTTAAAAAATAAATATAACCAATAACTGGAATTCTTTTTTTATTTTCTGCAGCTGTCAAAAAATTTAATATTAACAGGTTTTTTTTTTAATGAGTGACCTACCCATTATTTTCAGGGTATAAAATAATTGCCATGACCATAATTTTTGGTTAGTGGTTTAATTCTGTGCTACCAATATGGGTCCCAAAGGATACATTATAAAGTCGGGATGATGCATCATCCATCATCATTTGACCACTATAATATATAGACTAACTAAGCAAGGAAGAATAAATAAAAATTCGAATCGGTCTTATTACCTTTGGTTAGGCATCATGGAAAAATTACCCTTATATATATATATAAAATACGAAATTAGATTATCAGATCTCACAAGATAATCTTGGGAAATGGATTTTTATTTAAACCCATTCGATTTAAACAAAATTCATTACAATTTTTTTTTTAAATTAATTTTTATTTCGTATGTTTTAAATATATTAATAAAAATAAAAAATATAATTAATTATATTTATTATTTAATAATCTATTTCGTGTAGTTTAAATTTATTACTAAAGTATTATTAGATATTATAGATATATAAATAGATATATAAATAAATATATGAATAAATGGATAATAATTAAATAATGAATGAATGAATGAATTAATTAATATATAGATATTAAAAATTAAAAAATCAAAAAATCATACAATTACTCTTATTCGGAGGGGGAGAGCTACTTTTAGCAAAACGGGCAAGTAGAAAAATGTTAAATATTTTATCAAGAATCTACTTGGTCTTTTTGGTCTTTCTTGTCTTTCTTGCCCCTATGCATGTTTTGCTAAATTTACTATATAAATTAATTAATTATTTATTTTTTAAAAAAAAAAAAATCTATCTATTTCTTCCACGACAACAATTACACCACCCATCTGCTTCTATAACACAACAGTTACAACAATGAATTATAATTGATTGAGACGGTTCATTATCAAACTTGATTCCTCCAATAAAACCTTCGTCAATATGAGAGTTTTGGTTGTCTCCTGCTCCACCACCACAGCATTCATGATTTTGTGTAGTAATGACTGAAGATGATGCTGAAGATGGTGTTGTTGTTGTTGATGATGATGATGATGATGATGATGATGATGATGATGTCGTTGTAGTTGATGTTGTTGTTGTTGTCGTTTTCGTCGTCGTTGTCGTCGTCGTTGTTGATGCAATTTTTTTCATATCTATAAGATTTGTTTGAATTTTTTTTATTTTTTTTATTTTTTTTTTGAAAAAGGGTATATACTTGTGTATATATATAATTATATATATAAGATAGTATGTATATATATATGATTGTATATATATGATTATATATATGTGTGTGTGTGTGTGTGTGATTGTATATAAGATTGTATATATGTATATTTAGAGGATTCTATGTATTTAGATGGTTATAAAGATTATATATTATATTAATATGTGATGGATATGTAAATTTTTTTTTAAAAAAAAAGGGAAAAAAAAAAGGAAAAAGTATCATATATTTATTGATTTTAGAGACTTTGATCTACTACTAATAAACAATATAAAATAATAAATAACCAGACCAGTACTGAGTCACTTATACAAGATACTATGTAATATAAACAATATGTAAATAAATATAAAACAATATGTAAATAAATAATAAACAAATTAATTAATTAATTAATTAATTATTGAAATTAACACTGGTACTATTGTAGTTTTTATGTTTCTTAAGTAAAAAAAAAAAACGAACATCAATTAAACGTTCTGATTTGCTGAAGCCGTTATCATCAGAAAAATTATATAGATAGAATCTTGGCGAGAGGAGCTAATCAATTTGAGAACTATCTGCAATTGCAATATATAAATGCCGCCACCCACATGAATGATTTTGTGTAGTAATGACTGAAGATGATGCTGAAGATGGTGTTGTTGTTGTTGATGATGATGATGATGATGATGATGATGATGATGATGTCGTTGTAGTTGATGTTGTTGTTGTTGTCGTTTTCGTCGTCGTTGTCGTCGTCGTTGTTGATGCAATTTTTTTCATATCTATAAGATTTGTTTGAATTTTTTTTATTTTTTTTATTTTTTTTTTGAAAAAGGGTATATACTTGTGTATATATATAATTATATATATAAGATAGTATGTATATATATATGATTGTATATATATGATTATATATATGTGTGTGTGTGTGTGTGTGATTGTATATAAGATTGTATATATGTATATTTAGAGGATTCTATGTATTTAGATGGTTATAAAGATTATATATTATATTAATATGTGATGGATATGTAAATTTTTTTTTAAAAAAAAAGGGAAAAAAAAAAGGAAAAAGTATCATATATTTATTGATTTTAGAGACTTTGATCTACTACTAATAAACAATATAAAATAATAAATAACCAGACCAGTACTGAGTCACTTATACAAGATACTATGTAATATAAACAATATGTAAATAAATATAAAACAATATGTAAATAAATAATAAACAAATTAATTAATTAATTAATTAATTATTGAAATTAACACTGGTACTATTGTAGTTTTTATGTTTCTTAAGTAAAAAAAAAAAACGAACATCAATTAAACGTTCTGATTTGCTGAAGCCGTTATCATCAGAAAAATTATATAGATAGAATCTTGGCGAGAGGAGCTAATCAATTTGAGAACTATCTGCAATTGCAATATATAAATGCCGCCACCCACATGAAAAAAATAAAACAATATTAGACGGTCACTCTTTTGGAAATTTTGCTATTGTTCAAGCGAGTGAGTCAATGGTTTAATAATAAAATAGAGGTCATTTACTATCGCTGTTCTATGTTTTTAAATCGTCAATTTATTGGTGATAAATAATAGATATGAATAATAAATAATAATAATAAATAAACCCATTTTCACAGATTATAAGAATTTAATTTTTCCTTTTTACAAAAAAAAAATATTTATCATCATCTACACCTACCATAAATATTATTATGTTTTTTTTAGAAAAATTTTTTCCCGTTGGATAATTTTTAAGAACAAACAAATAAAAAAGACCATCATTATAATGTTAATTAATTATTTTGATAATATTACGCACAGGCCACAAAAATCTCGTTGGCTCTTGGGAAGGTCCGAATATTATATATACATAAAAAAATTGTTACACGATTTTCATAGTTATGACGACAAAAAACATAAAGGAAGGTGGTTTGAATAGCCATTTAGAACCCGTTGCATGCATATATTATTTGTAACCAACATAATACATAAAACTCTTTAGAATATTCCATCAGATATATATATATATATATATTGACACACACACCACATAAATTTAAAGGTTTTTACAGGTGCAAAAAAACTACACTAGGACAAATAAAATGCCGATAATTAAAGTGTAATTTCGAACAGAAGATGTATATATGCTTTTTAGTGTTTTTTTAATTTATTTATTTTTAAAAATTAATTGTTAAAAAAAAAAATTACTAATGTTGTACGAATCCGGTCGGCCAACCAAATTTTTTATACTAATTAATTTAATAGCAATTGGAAAAAAAAGGCAATGTTCATAGAATATTTATCAAAAATCATAAAAAAGTAACTAAAATCATAAAATATACTAAACTAATCGCGATTAATTGTACATAATAAACCTTAGAAAGTAAAATAAAATAAAATTCAAAAGAATCATAAGTGATAGTCATTATCTTCGAATTCGTTAAATTCTAGAGGTAATGACAACAACGACGGTGTCGGAGAATTTAATCCTACTGGTGAAAAAAATAGTAGTGGAAGCTTCATGGATTCCAACGACGAATATACCATTGAGGTAGGATTAACTTCCGGTGCCGAAAATTCAAATATGGGAGTTGATGATGATGATGATGTTGATGATGATAATATTGGTGTTGATGTTGTTGATGATAATGACGACGGCGACGACGACGACGATTCCATATGTTCTGTTTGCGATTCGAGTGATGTTTGAGACGATTTTTGTGTTTGTGATATTTCAGATAAATCTGTTTCGATACTAGTATTACTGCCACTATTATTGTTACCGCTATTATTTTTATTATTGGTGGAAACGTGATTGTATGGAACAAATCTACAGGTGTTACGGTTGCGTGCTTTATTTGGATTAAATGAATAGTCAGGAAATCTCTGCGTATGTTGATCTTTTATTTGTTTGGCCAGCGTATTAAAACAACTTTTTTCTTGTTTGTTCATTTCATTCCATACTATTGAACATAATTTCTGCGTTAAAAGTTTTTTTGCGTCATTTGGAATATCGATACGAGTTGAGATTTCGTTGACTATGTCTTTTAATAATTTCCCGTAGATTGTGCTAAAAATTATGAATTGATTGGAAGGTCTTTTAACTTTTCGTGAAGTGTTGCTGCATAAAAAATCGCTTGCGTTAGCTGCTTTACATCGATCGATTGCGGTGAATTTAAGTTTTCTGATTTCATACTCTTCAACGAAATTCATAATTTTCTCCTCTTCTAAAAAAAGTTGTGGTGATCTTCTGTTTCTTTTATACATAATGATTAGAGAGCGAGAGTGAGAAGTAAGGCAAAATAAAGAAATGTATAAAGAAATATATATTATATAAATATATAATGTATATCGCTGACCTACTAATAAAAAAATACAAGAAAAAATTTATTTGACGGGTTATTTATAATTTTTTTTTTTTTAATATATTAATAATGAGCCGTTCATGTATTTCCAAAAGTGTAGAATAATAATAATTAATGACCGACCTTCTTTGACACAGTAGCTATTTTTAAAACGATCTAGTAAAAATATATGATTAAAAACAACGGGGATTGTATGGAGAAGTTATAGAATTATAGAATAAAATTATGTGATACAAAAATTAATATTATGATTGCTATTACTTTTCTTATTTTTATTTTGTAATATATATTAATAATGAGTCAATAACCACAATATAATAATAATACATAGAATTTATTTGTTATTTCTTTTTTCTTTTTCTTTTTTTTTCTAGACTTTCTTTTTGTTCTTTTAAAGAACATCATCATCATTAAAATAACTTAATTAATCAATCGTTGTTAGTTTGATTTAAACTGCTAGTATTGATTTTTCTTAACTGAAGATATATAATTAGTTAACACAATTGTATATTGTATATTCTTAATTGAATTTTCTTTTTCTCTCCAAAATGGGAATTTCTATATCTTATTTTATTTATAAATTCTCATATACGCACGCAATTTTGATTCCGATATAATAATAAGCAAAGTAGGTAAATACGAATAATTATTTATAGGCACGACGTACTTTGCTTTATTTTGAAGCTATACTAAATTTGTCATTGTATTATTGTTATTTTAAAGTCGATCGTAGACTTATTTAGTGATTTTTAGCTTTGTTAAAAAAAAAACGTATCACCAATTACTTATATGTAATAGATCATATTATTATACAAGGGAATCCCAACCGATACAAAATTACCAATCAATCAGCCCAAACCAATATTATCACTTTTCAGTAATTAATTGATTGGGTCAATTAACGGGTATAATTTCTTTTTTTAATTTCTATGAATCAAATGATGTATGTATATAAACACACTTGTAATCTTAAATAAGAACTTAGTCATCATTGTGATTCATATGAGACCCTGATTACAATGAGATAAGTAATAATAATCAAGCAAGGGTGTTTATTACACGCAAATTCCAAGTAAAAAAATTTTTTTTTTTAAATTATTTTATTTTTAAAAATTTTTTTTAGAAAAATATTATTAATTGGATTATTTAATTTGATTATTAATGGTGTGTTGGGTGGGGTATATGCATCTTTTTAAAAAGACACAAATTTTATTAATTTTATTAATTTTATATTAGATTTATTAACAAGTTTATTGATATATACAGTATATATATAATTAATTGAATTAAAAGATGAGATGTTAGGGATATAAACTTAATTATAATGATTAATTCAGCTAACAATATACATATAATATTTAAATTGTTATATTATGTTCCACACAAAATAATAAATAGTAATAATAATAAATCACTTTCATTAGGTCCATTCTCTTTCTCGTATTTCATTTACTTCCATCAAAGTTTTCTATTACATGCAAAATATTTATTAAACTTTAGATATATATACTCTTGAGTTGGTAGTATATTTAATTGTAAGTGTAATGATAAGTTGTGAAATATAACATTATATAATTATTGTTTTAATGGTTTAAAATTTCCATTGTGACGTGTATCTGCACCATATAATTATTGTATTCGTTGCCAAATTTCCTTAAATTAAATTCCTTTTCATTTAAGGAAATATGAATTAGTTCTGCATTGATTTTTGTGTTGAATTGGATAAGGGATGAACGAATGGATTTGATTATAGATGACTGATCACTTGTAAATTTCCTGCATCTATGAACTGCTATAAAATATCAAGAAGACAATGAATGAATATATGCGTCATGTTTTAATTAATTAATGCGACACACAGCCCTAAATTTATCCACAGTGAACGAATATATGTGTAATGATACGATTAACTTTTTTAAATCTGTTTGTACAGTTTTAATATTCCTATGTCTATGTATAGATACATATAAATAAATATGTGTGCGTGTGTATTAGTAGTATATATAATGAAGGTAACAATCTCAGGGTTATAATAATTTTGTGTCAAATTGCATTTTTCTAAAAAAAGCAAGTTTGTGTAAAAAATTAGCCATCTTGAATTTACACACATTTATTTTAGAAAGATAAATATAATAATAATAGATAGTAAAGGACAGAAACCCAAAGAAATTTCAAGCACAAACCAACATTAATAGTAATATCAATAAGAACTAAATTAAAAATTATTTTGTTTGATTTGATTGGTTTTTAATAAAATGATGATAAAAAAAAAATAGTTTTTGATTTATTCAACGTACGAAGAAAGTGTATAAAATTTTTTTATTAATTATTATTATGTATGTATATATATATATATTCGTTGATATTTTAAAAAGAATAATGGTCCGTGCTATTAAGGTTTATAAATAAATGGGTGATGATGACGATGACAACAACAATATTATTAATAATTATTATCGTCGATAATAATAATAGTAATAAATAAATAATAATAATAATAATAATAACAATAAAATTCATTCGTCTTAATTTTCCGTTATTTATTGGCTACACTAAAAACTATGTAATTTTTTTTCTGTTTAATATAAAATCAATCAAAATCAATCATTTTTAATCAATCTAAAATTGAAAAAAAACCAAAAGGTTATTCGTTACTAAATTAGAGATTCTACTAGTTTTGAACCTGATTATATAAATTATACATTTATATATCGATATATGGGACGTTTCACAGCAAAAACCACCTCTGGGGTCATCTGACCAAAATTGAGCTTTTTACATAATATTGATCTATAATATATAAATTATAATTGGTGAAAATATTAGACCATATTTGCTTAATAAAAAAACGGGGAATTTGCAATGGACACCTTCTTTAAAGTAATTTGCACAAAATAATAAATTGATCTGCGCACCCCATTTTATTGTTACACGCAATAATTTAAAATTTTAAAAATAAATTTTTTTAAAAAATACATACATATTAATATTAATATACATTAAAATAAAATCAATAAATATTAGGTTCTGGACAAAGAATATCTTTAAATGGGTCTTCTACATGTTGGCGAATTTTTGTAAACAAATATTTTTTTCTATCATCTGTTAATGGAGCAACCTCAATAATATTTAATTGACCATCCTTATCAAAATTAGCATTCTTTAGAAGTTTAAAAGAAATTTCCGAGCCACCAGATTTTTCAGAAACATAAACTTTTCCAATATCCTTACTACTAAAGCGAAAATGATGGTATTTTTTTATATTTGGTAATTTTCTGAAATTGTCATTAAATAGTAAGCTAAAGTCATACCATTTCCATCCCATACCATTTTTATATCTAATAGATTGATTATTATGATTTTTTGATGAATCATTTATAGCTTCTTCAACATGATCAACAGTATTTATAACTCTATTTCTATATACTTTTTTAATTAATCCAAAAAATCCATCACATACAAATTTAGTGTGACCAGGTATCATAAAATTTATATATATATTTTCATACCAACCCAACATTATTAACCATGACCAAAACCAAAGTGATAAGTTATTCTTATTTTGTCCTGAACAATTATCACATGTCACATATAGGTCTTTTTTCTCATCATGATGATTCCTTTTAAGAAAATCAAAAACCATACATAAAGTTGAATTAGCTCCTTTTGGTGTTCCTTGTGGCAATTCATCTTCACCTATAGTATAATTTAGCTGATAATTGTTGCCTCCATCAGTTTTAGTGCATCCAAAGAGTTGTATGGCAAAAGGAGTTTTAAAATAAATTGAGCCAACTTGTTGAGGTGAATATGGTGCAGAAACACTTTGAGCATAATCATAGCAAATGTGAGTTAGTGTTAAATCATTTTTAGATTTTTCAATAATTTTGTTATAATGTTGTCTTTCACAATCTGCAGCTGCAAGATGATCATCAAACTTGAATTGCATGTCAATCTCTTCATCCTCCTCATTTAATGATTTTAATTTAAATAATTTTAATCTAAATTTTTCACAAATCTCACAAAGATCACTTGAGGGATTTAAAAATTTAACATGTGGTGTTAATTGATTCCAAAGTTTCACAAAAGCTCTATATTTTAAATTAATTATAGAAGTGCCATAACTATCAACAAAGCTTTTTACATATTCATTAAAAACTGAAGTATAATTACATTTAGTTTTTAGATAAATAATTGGGTCTGAATTGTCACGAATTCTCATTGGAGATGGCAATCCATATAGGTTTGCATAATTTAATATAAATTGCTTCACTATTTCTGCTAATTCTATATTAACAAATGCACGTGACTTAAGTTTGGGAATATTTTTTATATTACCATGTTGACGATCTTCTAAACCATTTGTTTGTAAATGTTTTTGCAAAGCTTTTAACACATCTACTTTAATATTACATAGCTTTAAGAATACAGGTCGGCAAATGGATATTGCTGCATTATATTTGTATTGATACCTAATAAGTGAATCTCCACTGTCAAATTTGAAAACCATCAATTGTGTTTTGATGGAAAGATCTTTTTCTTTTTTATCTAAACTTTTAAATTCAAAATATCTTTCAAAAAAATTTTTAAAGCCTATTTTTTCAAAACAATTATGTGAGTCTATTTCTGTTTTATGACATTTACATTCAGAGCTCTGGAAAAACAATTTTAAATCCTCAACTACATCAACTACTAAATTATTTTCTTCATAATCCACTAATTCTAGATCAAATAAATTGTATTCTGGGATTGAATTAATTGAAGACATATTGATTTGATATATTTTTATAAAATTTAAAGCTTTTATTTTTTATTTAAGATAAAAATTCTTATGTACAATATTTATACTTA